ACAGCTTGCTATTAGCAATGCCCTCCCCCTGTCCGAGCAGCCTCGCTTCAGGTCTATCACCACTGCCCAGGCTTTCCTAGGTGCTGTTGTCCAGCGCTATTCCATCCCCCCTGCTGCCTCGGTCGGTCGTCTGATCCTCCCCATGCTCTTTCCTGACCTTGCGTCGTTCCCCACTGTCGCCAACCTGGCCGCTCACCTGCGCACCATAGACGAGACCTGGCGTGCTGCCTGCACCCCTACACAGCTAGCCCACTAGCCACCCCTCACCTCTACTCACTACCTGCTAGCCACCCGCCTCCCTGACCGTCTTGCCACTACCCGTGACCGCTTTCTTAGCGTCCACCCCGCAGACCTTACCCTCACTGACTTTGTTGACACCCTGTCCGCTATAGAGGCCCGCCACCGCTCTATCGCTCAGACCAGCGGTACTGTGCCGGTCCCTATCTTTCAGGGTTGTGCCCCCGCTCAGTGCACCTTCTCCGCCGGTTCTGTTGCTGTGGCTGAGACTGCCGCTGCCGCACAGGTTCGTCCGGGGAAGGGTCGCCGCCCAAAGGCAGGACGTGGCGACGGGGGTGGGGGTGCGGGTGTAGGTGGTGCTGGAGTTGGGTCACCTAGTGGTGGTGCTGACACGGGGACCCTGCCAAGTGCAGCCAAGCAACCGTCTCAGCAGTCGCCGGTGTTGCTGCCAGACCCGCGCCAGCCGCAGTAGCCGCAGCCGCCGCAGCTGCAGCCGTCGCCGTAGCCGCAGCAGTCACAGCAGCAGCAGAGGCGGACGAGTCGTCTTCCGCCTGGGTGGCCCGGCGCTGGTGGCAGCGCTGGATGTGGTGGTGGTGCACGTGGTGGGCTGCCAAGTGGTGGTTCGGGTGCCGCGCGCTGTCAGTACCTGCTTCAGACCGGTCCTCGCTGTGGCTTCGTTTGCGGTAAGATCGGTCATACCTCCATCCGCTGTTTCCGTTGCCTGGACGACCTGTTTCGTCAGCGTTTCGGCCCGTCGCCCGAGCTCCCACACTGGCACAGCTTGCTTAGTTGTAGGGTTCAGATTTTTGATCTGGACATGGATGAGATTGTTGCTGCTCTGCATGTGATGTATGCTAATGACTCTAGTGTGCTTCCGTCTTATTACCCCTTGTTGCCTAGTGTGGGTGTGCCTTCCTTAGACTCCTCTGCTGCATCAGGCGTAGGATCCCCTGCTTTGTTTAGCCTTGGTGCTTCCGTCGCTACTTCGCCTCTGGCCGCCACTGCCGCACTCTCCTTCACCCTCGACTCTGGCGCTTCCCGGTGCTTTTTCCGCGACTCCACCATGTTGACACCGCTTCCTGTCCCTGCCGCGGTGTCCCTGACTGACCCCTGCTCTGGCCCTGTAGTCGCCCGTAGTTCCACCACCCTCCCCTGCCCGGCGGTTCCTTCGGGCTCTCTCACAGGCCTGCACATACCCTCGTTTTCCAGGAACCTAGTTGGTGTCGGCTGCCTCCAGGACCTTGGCGTCACCACTACGTCCCCTGGTCACAAGCGGTACGCTGTCTGTACCGAGGCCGCCTCTGGTGCCCCCCTTACCACGTTCCCCCGGGACCCGGTGTCCGCACTGTTCACACTGGACACTGTGACCCCCCCGGCTGGGACCCCCCCTCATGTGGCTGTGTCTACCCAGGTTGCTGCTGCCTACTCCTGTCGGTCACTCACCCACCGACTCTCCTGTGGCACCACTGTCTAGGTCACCCTGCGCTCCCGCGTCTGCGTCACATGTCACAGCACAGTCTCGACCTAGGCCTCCCTGGGTTGTTCTCTGAGTTTCCCTCCTCCCCTGCCCCACCTTGCACGCCTTGTGTCGAGGGCCGGCTTTGACGTGCTCTCACTCCTCCTTGTTTCCCCCTACCGCCGCACCGCTACAGACTCTGCACATGCACATCTGGGGCCCCGCCCCCGTCCATGGGCCGCGTCGAGAGCGCTACTTCCTAGTGCTTGTCGACGACTACACGCGCTACACCACTGTGTTCCCCCTGGAGCGGAAGGCCGACGTGCCTGACGTTCTTATCCCGTGGCTTGTCGTTGCGCGTGTCCGTCGCGGTCTCCCTGTCTTGCGCCTCCACTCCGACCGTGGTGGCTCTGTTTGCCTCTGGTGTCCTTGGTCGTTTCTGTCGTGCCGAGGGCATCACCCAGACGTTCACCTTGCCGGACTCCCCGCAGCAGAATGGGGTCGCTGAGCGACGCATCGGTTTGGTCATGGAGGTGGCTCGCACCTCCATGATCCATGCCGATGCACCCCATTTTCTATTACCGTTCGCCGTTCGCTACGCCGCTCACCAGCTTAGCCTGTGGCCGCACCCCCAGCAGCCTCAGGTTTTGCCGACCCTCCTTTGGTCTGGGTCACCTGGTGACGCATCTGCATTCCACGTCTAGGGCTGTCTTGCTCACGTTCGTGCCTCTGGCACGGACAAGCTCACTGCCCGCACCCTTCCCTGTGTCTTCCTCGGCTTCCCCCTTGACGCGTCTGACTGGCACTTCTACCACCCGCCGTCTCACAGGTTCTTTCACTCCCGTGACGTCACCTTTGACAAGTCCGTCTCCTTCTTCCGCCGCTTCCCCCACCGAGGTCCCCCGGTTACCCCCCCCCTATTCCTGGTCACCCCTTCCCTGGTCGTCGCCGCCCCTCCTCCTCCCCCTCCCCATCCTGCCCCCTCTGGTGTGTCCCACGTCACCCCCCTTACGTTGATTGTACCGGTTGAGGAGTCTACTGACTGTGGTAGTCCTGCGGCGCAGTCCTCGTCGCCTGCCCCTTTTCAGGTGTCCCTTCCTCCGCCGCCTCCGCAGCCGCAGTCGCCACCGCTGTCGCAGCCGTCGTCACCGCCGCCACCGTCGCCGCCGCCGTCGTTGCGACCCCCGCCGCTGCAGCCGTCGCCGCAGCAGTTGGTTGCCTCTGGGGGTGCTGGAGTTGGGGTGGGTACTCGTCCTGGGACTCCTATCGTGGCTTGTCCCGGCGGGCCTGGGGGTGGTACCGGTGCTCGAGGGGTTCTGAGCTCTGGGGGTGTTTCTTCTGGGGGTACTAGTAGGGAGTGTTCTCGAGGTAGCCGCCTGGCAGCTTGCGGTCCCGGTGTCGGCGTCACACCGCCGTCACAGCAGTCCCCACCGGTGTCCGCTCTTCGCCTGCTCGGCCTTCCGTCCCCTGACCCCGTGCCCGTGCCTCCTCCTCCTCCTGTCTCCGGCCCTGTGTTCCCTCCTCCGGACGCGTCTCCGGCCCGTTTCCCCCCTCGTTCCCCTCCTGTGTCCCCTCCTATGTCTCCTGACCCGACTCCCCCGTCTCACGTCTGGTCTTGCCGTCCCTCCCGTGCTCGACCTGTCTCCTCTGTCTCACGCTCTCACCCTATGTTGCTTCATTCCCACGCGTCTCGTCCTCCCCTTCTCCCGTCGCCCCCTCCGTCCTCCCTTGTCGTTGCTCCCCCCCCTCTGTCTGAACACCTGCGTGCCACTCGTCCTCTTGTTCCTCAGGTCCTTGCCTCTCTCGTTACCAACCCGTCTGTTCCGGTTTCAAGCCTTGACGCCCTTGTCGCTGCGGTCGCTGACTTCGCCTCTACCCGCCGCCTTGACTACGCCACCGCTCTAGTCTCCGACCCTGCCCGTCCTCCGTCTGTCGGAGGTGCTCCTGCCCTTGGCAGTGACGTCCTGGAGGACCGCCAGTACGAGCTTGCTTTCCTGTCCGAGGCTGCTCCCCATCTCTGTTCCATACTTCTAGTCCCTGAGGGTGACCCCGACGCTTTTGACATCCCGACCCCTCGCACTTACGCTGAGGCGACCTCGGGACCCTGGGCCTCTCAGTGGATAGCTGCCATGGAGCAGGAGATGGCATCTTGGAGATCCACCGGCACCTACGTCGACGCAGTTCCCCCACCTGGGGTGAACGTAGTCGATGGCCGCTGGCTCTTCAAGGTGAAGCGCCCCCCTGGAGAGCCGCCTGTGCTCAAGGCGCGCTACGTGGCTAGAGGTTTCAGTCAGCGTGAGGGGGTGGACTTCTTCCAGACCTTCGCTCTGACCCCGAAGATGACTACTCTTCGGGTGCTACTACACGTAGCAGCGCAGCGTGACTACGAGCTTCACTCCCTCGACTTCTGCACTATGTTTCTTCAGGGCTGTTTACACGAGTAGGTCTACATGCGTCGCTCACAGGGCTTCACTGGTACCTTCCCCCTTGGGACCCAGTGGCTCCTGCGGCGCCCCGTCTACGGCCTGCGGCAGGCTCCCCATGAGTGGCACGACACGCTGCGTGCTACGCTTGCTGACCTGCAGTTCTTTCCGTCCTCTGCAGACCCCTCGCTCTTCGTTCGTGCTGGCCAGACTCCGTTCTGCATCCTTGTTTACGTAGACGACCTAATCTTCACCACGGCAGACAGGGACGCACTGGCCTCCGTGAAGACAGAGCTGCTGAAGAGACACACTTGCACTGACCTTGGAGAACTGCGCCACTACCTTGGCTTGCAGATCTCCAAGGACAGAGCAGCCCGCACCATCACTTTGACTCAGTCACACTTGGTGCGCCAGGTCTTTCAGAGGTTCGGCCTTCAGTTCTCCTCTGCACAGCCTACTCCTCTGCCTCTAGACCACAGGCTCTCCGCTCCAGTTCCTGAGGAGTCAGCAGAGCCCAGTGGTCCTTACGCAAAGCTGGTGGGTTGCCTCATGTACGTGATGACTTGCACACGCCCAGATCTCGCATACCCTCTCAGCATCCTGGCTCGCTTTGTGGCTACAGGCAGACACCGACCTCAGCACTGGTCTGCCGCTAAGAGGGTTTTGTGTTATCTTGCAAGTACATCGGGCATGGGGTTAGTGCTAGGAGGACGTAGGCCAGTGGTCCTTACTGGACACACAGACGCTTCTTGGGCAGACGATGCCGAGACCCTCAGGTCCTCACAGGGCTACTGATTCAGCCTTGGTTCAGGTGCCGTCTCTGTTGTGTGATGTCATCATATGCTATCACATTCTGTCTGCCTCCCATCCCTCGTTTCAATTCGCATGTATGGTTTGACTGTGTGTGAAAGAATTTGTGCGTGGTGTGTTCTGGAGTTTGGGAATGTGTTCTGTGTTATTTTGTTTGAGCAGGTATTTGTGATGATAGATCTTGAGAAGATCTTTCCGACGCAACAAGAATCTCTTCAATTGGAGCAAGAACGCGAAAGCTATGAAGATTCAAAGTTCTTGAGCTTGCGTTACAATTGCGGCGGTTACAAAGTGAAGTTGTGGGGTGACTCACAATGGAGTTGGGACCTTTGGGGTTGGGGAAATTCGTCACTCTACTGTAACAGCTGCAAATAGGTTGGGAACAACCAAGCTAGGTTGGCAAGGGTGGCCAACTTGGATGGATTGGTTGGGAAGGGACAAAGGTCAAAGTTGAGGTTCCTATAGGGAGGGAATCTTTGTGCTTATGGGGTTTCCTTGGTTGGGGACTCTCTTGGGACCTTCCCTCTCATCCCTCTCTTCCTATCCCAACCTTTCTCTTGCTCCTTCCAATTCCTTGTGAGATTCTTGAATTTTGATTGAACTCTTGAGATTGAGTTAAGTTCTCCTCCTACAGCTTACCCCCTAGTGCGTCAAAAGCCATAGCGTCGCGAATAATTCATCAATCAACATGAATCAAATTGCGAACGGTAGCTGAGATTAAGAGCTACAACATATCCAAGTTTCGCGACATTCCAACGGCTAGTTTTTCGTCGACGTCGTTTCTTGTGAAGACGACTTTTCTGTCCAGAATTTCGGATTTATATTTTGAGTAATTCTAGCTCCTAAGTTCACCTAGACTCCGTCCTTAATCCTAACAAGTGGTATCAGAGCCATATTGAGGACATTAAGAGGAGTCTACAGAAGTTTGAAGACCCTTCTAGACCCACCATGGCCTGTGGGTGTGCCTAAGTGGTGTTCTAAAGGTTGGATGTGTCTTCCGCTAAGGGGAAACTCTGCCGAAATTTCGTGGACGCCGATACTTGTGAAAATATCGAGGGAGCTGAGTGTGGACAGCAAAGGGGAGCTGAAACTCGTCATTTCTCAAGGAGAAGATGAATGAGAGAGGAGGAGATGCTAATGGAAGAGGAGCTGTAGCTGAGAAGACAAGTGAGCCGCCGCCATCAAAAGTTGAAGCTTTGGATGGCTCCAACTATGAGGAATGGAGCGGGCGCATGAGGAGTGCCTTCAAACGCTACAAGCTACTGAAGATTGCTGTTGGGGAAGAAAAGATGCCGGAAGAAGGCGAAGCACGTGAACGGTGGATTGAGAAAAGCACGGTGCTTTTCGACCTCATCCTTCAATCGGTCAACAAGGAGATGTTCGAGCACATCAAGGATCTTGTGGAAGCGGATGATTCGGGTCCAAGGGCGTGGAAACTACTACGCGATGTGATTCAGCCCAACACTCTCCCGATGGTGATCGTCCTCGAGAAGGAACTTGCTGCCATCTCCATGCGACCAGGGGATGATGTGAAGCCGGTCCTTGACAAGATCAAGGACACCTATGTAAGGATGTCAGCAGCGGGCAGCAGTGTATCTCAGCTGTAGCAGTGCACCAAGATCATCTCGGTGTTGGACAACTCGTGGGATAACCTCATCCCCACCCTCAACTCTCAGCAAGATCAATGGACACCTGAGTGGCTAAGGCAGCAGATTCTGCAGGAGGACTTCCGCAGACGCCATGTGGGAGGCGGTGCTGCCACTAAGAATGCTGAGGGGTATGGAGGTGCAGGGCGCGGCAGAGGAAGAGGGGGTTGGAGAGGCCGAGGCCGTGGGAGGAGCTTTGGCAGAGGTAGAGGCCGAGGTGACTATAATGAGGGGCATGGGAGCTCTAGTGGCAGGGGGAGTACCAGAATGGAGGGCACCTGCTGGTACTGCAAGAAGGTCGGGCATCCTTGGTTCAAGTGCTTCAGCAGGCCGGAGGGATGGGCACCTCCAGGCATGAAGCCGCCCAGTGGTGAACGCGCACAAGGTGGCGCTGTGCAAGGCTCAGGTGCACAAGGTGAAGGTGCACAAGGTAACGCCTATCCTGGGATGTTTCTCATGGTTGAGGATGTGCATGGGCATGAGGGTGATGTGGGATCTGTGGGAAAGGTTGTGATGCACCCTTTCACGCACTGGGTGATTGATTCAGGTTGCACCAGTCACATGACCCCACAGGCAGATTTGCTTGATGAGGTAAAACCCCTTGGGAAGATCAAGTATGTGGCAGCAGCGTCAGGTGCTTTGCTCCCCGTGATTGGTGTTGGGAATGCCAAGGTTAAGGGAGCCAATGGGGAACTTGTGGGGCTTGGGAATGTTCTGCTGGTTGAAGGTCTGTCTGCTAACCTTCTCTCTGTGCGGCGACTGCAGAAGAGCAAGGCCGAAGTGACCTTTGGACCAACCAGCTGCCGTGCTAAGCTTGGGAAGAAGGTGCTGTGGAGTCTGGAAGAGGAGACCAGCTGCATCAAGGACCTATGGCAGCTGCCCATCATCCCTTGGAATGGGAAGACTCCAACAACAGCAACGGCAGCAGCGGCAAAGGCAACAGCAGGAGGAGATGCAACTGCACCAACTGATGGGGTCCTGGAAGCAGTCAAGAAAGTGCAGCAGCAGCAGACACATGGTGAGGTGCTTGCTGGTGTGAATGCGAGTGCGGCATGGGCTAAGGCTTCATCAAGGAGTGGAGAGGCCGATTGGGAGACATGGCATGAGAGGCTGTGTCATGTGAACTTCCCTATGCTGCAGAAGTTGGTGAAGGATGGGAGCCTGAAGGGCTTGGAGGTGAAAGGGGGAGTGAAGGAGATTGGGAGCTGCCCTATATGCTTGGAGACCAAGTTCTCCAAGTTCCCCTTCAACAGCACTACAGGACCAGCCAAGACCCCACTTGCACTTGTGCACATGGATGTGGTGGGGCCCACAAGAGCCCCTTCCCTCTCAGGCAGCCGCTATTTCTTGACAATTGTAGATGACCACACTCGGGCAGTGTGGGTTTACCCTTTGAAGAGCAAGGGGGAGGTGGCAGCGGCTGTCCTTAAGGAGTGGATGCCGAGAGCTCAGAGGGAATGCGGACACAAGGTGAAGGTGATCCGTAGTGATAATGGTGGGGAGTTCATTGGAGCTGATTTTGAGGGGGAGTTGAAGAGGAAGGGGATCCAGCATCAACTGACAGTGCCCTACAACCCACAGCAGAATGGCGTGGCTGAGAGGTTCAACAGGACCCTGCAGGAGGGGGCACGCACTCTCCTTGGGCGTGCAGGGCTGCCTGATCCGTTTTGGGTGTCTGCACTGAGGCAGGTCGCCCTTGTGAAGAACAGGGTGCTGGCTACAGTTGGGGATAAGGAGTGGATCCCATATGCCAAGTGGTATGGGAGTGCTCCAGCGGTTAACATGCTGAGGGCATTTGGGTGCATGGTGGTGTTTCATGTGCCCAAGGAGAAAAGGGGGAAGTTGGAGGCTTCTGGAAGATGGGGTGAGCACTTGGGGATTGCAAAGGATCACAAAGCATGGTTGCTATGGGACTTGACCACCCAGAAGCTGACAGTGTCAAGGGATGTGAAGTTTCTTGAGTCCCTGTACTACAAGGAATAGAAGCAGCAGCAACAGAAGCTTCCATCTACACCGCTCATTGTGGAGGTAGATGAGGTGCAGCGGCCTTCAAGACAGGTGGAGGTTGCAGTGTCTGAGGAGGAGATGTCTGGGGTGACTGAGGAAGGGGGAGCAGCTGAAGTGGAGCAGCAGCAGCAGCAGCAGCATGAGTCTCCACCTCGAGTTCCACACCCGCCTGAGCGACCTAGGAGGGATGTGCGCCCTCCGGTGAGGCTGATCTATGGGGGAAGAGGCAAGCCGAATGTGGTGCAGGCTGGGAGTGTGGTTGAGCAGATTGAGGAAGATGAGATCGCTCACTGCTACTGGGCACCAATCCCTGAGCCCAAGACTCGAGAAGAGGCCTTGAATGGACCAAATGGGGAGAAGTGGAAGGCGAGTGAGGATAAGGAGTTTGGGTCCCTGATTGAGAACGAGACATGGGACCTGTGTGACTTGCCTCCTGGGAAGAAGGCAATCACTTCCAAGATGATCTACAGGCACAAGTATGGACCTGAAGGGGAGCTGACCCGCTACAAGTCTAGGCTTGTGGCAAGGGGGTTTCAGCAGACAAAAGGGAAGGACTATGATGAGGTGTTTGCTCCTGTGGGGAAAGGAACAACACTGAGGGTGCTGTTAGCGATAGCTGCACTCCTGGGATGGAAGATACGGCAGATGGATATTGTGACTGCCTTTCTGAATGGGATCATTATGGAGGAGGTGTACATGAAGCAGCCAGAGGGGCTGGATGACGGGAGCGGCAGGGTCTGCAGGCTGAAGAAGGCCATCTATGGCCTTAAGTAGGCGCCTCGTGCATGGTATCACAAGTTGGAGGAGGCGCTGTTGGCTGGGGGTTTCAAGAAGAGTGAGTGTGATCCCAGCCTGTTCCTGCTGCAGGAGAAGGACGAAATCCTCATGCTCTTGGTGTATGTGGATGATATCCTTCTCTTTTCTGCATCAACTGCTTTGCTGGACAGCGCAGAGCAGATGCTGGAGATGCAGTTCAAGTGCTCCAAGATGGGTGAGGTGAAGTACTACCTGGGGATGCATGTGGAGAGAGATGTGGAGAAGGGTGTGCTGAGGTTGCACCAGAGGAAGTACTGTGAGGGGCTGGCTGAAAAGTATGGGCTGCAAGATGGGGGAAAGCCAGCAACACCACTACCTTCGGGGTGTACTGTGGAGCCATGTGCTGATGAGGAGGTAGTGGGTGAGAGTGACAGGAAGCTGTTTCATTCGATGGTTGGGTCGCTGAATTATGCTGCAAATCATACACGGCCTGACATTGCATTTGCTACATCACGACTGGCTAGCGTGGTTTCACGTCCTAGTCATGAGCAGCTGGAAGCGGCCAAGAGGTTGGTCCGCTATGTGAGCGCTACGGCATTAGTGGGATTGGAGTACAGTGGAGTGAGGCAGCGGTTGCAGAGAGGTGCTGCAGATGTGAAGAGTGGAGAGATGCTCTTGAGTTGCTATACTGACGCTAGCTTCAACTCAGTGAAAGCGGATGGCACCAGCATTGGGGGTTATATGTGCTTGCTAGGAGGTGGTGCTGTAAGCTGGCGCAGCAAGAAGCCGAATGAGGTGGGATTGTCCTCATGTGAGACTGAGTACATGGCCTTACACCATGGGGCCAAGGAAGTGGTGTGGCTGAGGCGTTTGTTGGAGGAGTTGGGAGTTGGTCAGAAGGAGCCGACGGTGATCTTCTGTGACAATGAGTCTGCTGTGAAGCTCGCCAAGAATGCTTGTCTGCATGGGCTTACAAAACACATAAGGCCTAAGTGGCACTGGGTGAGGAGACTCCTTGATAAGGAGGTGCGGCTGGAGATCGTGAAAACCCATCAGCAGGCAGCAGATATTTTCACTAAGCGTTTGGCGGAGGCGGATCATTGGAAGGGCATGAAGCTTGCTGGGATGAGTGTGCATTGAGTATGCATGCTTGAGATGTGGCATGATGGATGATGGTTGGCAGCCAGAGGGGGAGATTGTTGTGTGATGTCATCATATGCTATCACATTCTGTCTGCCTCCCATCCCTCGTTTCAATTCGCATGTATGGTTTGACTGTGTGTGAAAGAATTTGTGCGTGGTGTGTTCTGGAGTTTGGGAATGTGTTCTGTGTTATTTTGTTTGAGCAGGTATTTGTGATGATAGATCTTGAGAAGATCTTTCCGACGCAACAAGAATCTCTTCAATTGGAGCAAGAACGCGAAAGCTATGAAGATTCAAAGTTCTTGAGCTTGCGTTACAATTGCGGCGGTTACAAAGTGAAGTTGTGGGGTGACTCACAATGGAGTTGGGACCTTTGGGGTTGGGGAAATTCGTCACTCTACTGTAAAAGCTGCAAATAGGTTGGGAACAACCAAGCTAGGTTGGCAAGGGTGACCAACTTGGATGGATTGGTTGGGAAGGGACAAAGGTCAAAGTTGAGGTTCCTATAGGGAGGGAATCTTTGTGCTTATGGGGTTTCCTTGGTTGGGGACTCTCTTGGGACCTTCCCTCTCATCCCTCTCTTCCTATCCCAACCTTTCTCTTGCTCCTTCCAATTCCTTGTGAGATTCTTGAATTTTGATTGAACTCTTGAGATTGAGTTAAGTTCTCCTCCTACAGCTTACCCCCTAGTGCGTCAAAAGCCATAGCGTCGCGAATAATTCATCAATCAACATGAATCAAATTGAGAACGGTAGCTGAGATTAAGAGCTACAACATATCCAAGTTTCGCGACATTCCAACGGCTAGTTTTTCGTCGACGTCGTTTCTTGTGAAGACGACTTTTCTGTCCAGAATTTCGGATTTATATTTTGAGTAATTCTAGCTCCTAAGTTCACCTAGACTCCGTCCTTAATCCTAACAGTCTCGTGGAGAGCTACCCGCTCCTCGTCTGTTGCCCAGTCTAACTGTGAGGCCGAGATCTACGCCGGTGCCATGGCGGCACAGGAGCTCCGCTGGCTGACCTTCTTTCTCACTGACTTAGGTGAGCGGCCTAGCTCTGCACCGGTCCTCTACGCTGACAACCGGGCCATGATCCTCCCGTGTCAGGAGCCTCGACTCGAGGGCAGAGCGAAGCACATTCAGCTGCGGTACTTCCTCCTGCGTGAGCTGCAGCAGCGTCGCCATGCGCGAGTAGTACACTTGGCCTCCGATGCCAACATAGCTGATATCTTTACGAAGGCGCTTGCGCCTAAAGATCATCAACGGCACTGTGTACAGCTGGGTCTCGTTCCTGTAGCCTCTCACTTGCTAGGGCCTTGACTTTGTACTGTCCTTTATATCTATATTTTACCCCGACTGGTCTTGTGGCCTCTTCCTAGTGGCTGGATTAGTAGTGCCACCCTAGGCTTGCTCTTGCCTTGTCTGTACTTCTTTTGACTGGTCTTTATCTTAAAATTGAGTAATGAATAAGTAGAGAACCTGGGTACAAGCATACATATCTAAGGGTTGTACTCTCTAAGAGGTGACCCTATACAGTCAATACAAACACTAGATATACTAATGTTTGACATACCCCCTAGACTGCATAGGGGCAGTTCTTGAACAAGCAGCTCAGGGCGGCACTACTAGTCCAGCCACTGAGACAAGGGTCTAAAGACGAGTCAACTGGAGTACAGGCAAGGCAAGAACAAGACCAGTGCCCTGGGAAGACCTGAGGGTCTCGGCATCGTTTGCCCAAGAAGCGTTTGAGTGTCCAGTTAAGACCATTGGCCTGCGTCCTCCTAGCACTAACCCCATGCCAGATGTACTTGCGAGATAATGCAAAACCCTCTTAGCGGCAGACCAGTACTGCGGTCGGTGTGTACCTGTGGCCACAAAGCAAGCCAAGATGCTGAGAGGGTATGCGAGATCTGGGCGAGTGCAAGTCATCAGGTACATGAGGCAACCCACCAGCTCTGTGTAAGGACCACTGGGCTCTGCTGACTCCTCAGGAATAGGAGCAGAGAGTCTGTGGTCTACTGGAAGAGGGGTGGGCTGTGCGGAGGAGAACTGAAGGCCGAACCTCTGAAGGACATGGTGCACCAAATGTGACTGAGTCAAAGTGATGGTTCGCGCTGCACTATCCCTGGAGACCTGCAAACCAAGGTAACTGCGCAGTTCTCCAAGGTCAGTGCAAGTGTGTCTCTTCAGCAGCTCTGCCTTCACGGAGGCCAGTGCGTCCCTGTCTGCTGTGGCAAAGTCCAGATCATCCACGTAAACAAGGATGCAGAACGGAGTCTGGCCATCACGGACGAAGAGTGAGGGGTCTGCGGAGGACGGAAAGAACTGCAGGTCAGCAAGAGTAGCACGCAACGTGTCGTGCCACTCATGGGGAGCCTGCCACAGGCCGTAGACGGGACGCCGCAGGTTCCACTGGGTCCCAGGAGGGAAGGTGCCAGTGAACCCCTGAGGGCGACGCAGGTAGACCTGCTCGTGTAGGCTGCCCTGAAGGAACGCAGTGGAGAAGTCGAGTGAGTGAAGCTCGTAGTCACGCTGAGCAGCTACGTGTAGCAGCACCTGAAGAGTAGTCATCTTTGGGGTCGGAGCGAAGGTCTGGAAGAAGTCCACCCCCTCACGCTGACTGAAACCTCTAGCCACGTAGCGCGCCTTGAGCACAGGCGGCTCTCCAGGGGGGCGCTTCACCTTGAAGAGCCAGCGGCCATCGACTATGTTCACCCCAGGTGGGGGAACTGCGTCGATGTAGGTGCCGGTGGATCTCCAAGAGGCCATCTCCTGCTCCATGGCAGCTATCCACTGAGAGGCCCACGGACCCGAGGTCGCCTCAGCGTAAGTGCGAGGGGTCGGGATGTCGAAAGCGTCTGGGCCACCCTCAGGGACTAGCAGCATGGAACAGAGACGGGGAGCAGCCTCGGACAGGAAAGCAAGCTCGAGCTGGCGGTCCTCCGGGACGTCACTGCCGAGGGCAGGAGCACCCCCGACAGATGGAGGACAGGCAGGGTCAGAGACCAGAGCGATGGCGTAGTCAAGGCGGCGGGTAGAGGCGAAGTCAGCGACCGCAGCAACAAGAGCGTCAAGTCACGAAACCAGACGTGAGACGGAGGCGTCGGGTCAGGAGACAGAAGAGGGGACACAGGGTGGGAGCGAGGGGGAAGACGAGCCGGGGACGAGTCCGGCGGAGGGAACACAGGGCCGTAGACAGGAAGAGGAGGAGACGGCAAGAGAGGAACAGACGCAGGGTCAGGGGACGGAAGGCCGAGCAGGCGAAGGGCTGACACCGGTGGGGACTGCTGTTGCGGCGGCTCAACACCGTCACCGGGACTGCAAGCTGCTCCTCGGCTACCTCCGGGACACTCCACTCCTGCACCCCCAGAAGGAACATCCCCAGAGCCCAAAACCCCGCGAGCACCGGTACCACCCCCAGGGCCACCGGGACACACCACGACAGGAACCCCAGGACGAGCACCCACCCCAACGCGAGCACCCCCAGAGTCGACGAACTGCTGCTGCGACGGCGGCGGCGGCGGCGGTGGTAACGACGGGTGCGGCGGCGGCGGCGGCGGAGACGACGGCTGCGACAGCAGAGGCGACGGCGGCTGCAGAGGCTGTGGAGGCTGAGACACCTGGGGGGGGGCAGACGGCGAGGACTGCGCTTCAGGACCACCAGAGTCAGAAGACTCCTCAACCGGGACAACCGATGGGAGAGTGGTGACACACCAGAGGGGGCAAGATGGGGAGGGGGAGGGGGAGGGGCAGGGACCACCGGGGAAGGAGTGACCAGGAACAGGGGGGGAGTAACACGGGGACTGTGGTGGGGGAAGCGATAGTAGAAGGAGACGGACTCGTCAAAGGTGACGTCGCGAGAGTGAAAGGACCGGTGAGACGGCGGGTGGTAGAAGTGCAAGTCGGACGCGTCAAGGGGGAAACCAAGGAAGACACAGAGAAGGGTGCGGGCAGTGAGCTTGTCCGTGCCAAAGGCACGAACGTGAGCAAGGCAGCCCCAGACGTGGAACGCAGACGCGTCACCAGGAGACCCGGTCCAAAGAAGGGTCGGCGAAACCTGCGGCCGCTGAGGGTGCGGCCACAGGTTAAGCTAGTGAGCAGCATAGCGCACGGCGAACGGCCACAGAAAATGGGGTGCACCAGCATGGATCATGGAGGTGCGAGCCACCTCCATGACCAAACCGATGCGTCGCTCAGCGACCCCATTTTGCTGCGGGGAGTCCGGCAGGGTGAACGTCTGGGTGATTCCCTCCGCACGACAGAAGCGACCAAGGACACCTGAGGCAAACTCGCCACCACGGTCTGAGTGAAGACGCAAGACAGGGAGACCTCGATGGACACGCGGAGAGACAAGCTAGGGGATGAGAGCGTCAGGCACGTCGGCCTTCCGCTCCCGGGGAAAGACTGTGGTGTAGCGTGTGAAGTCGTCGACAAGCACTAGGAAGTAGCGCTCTCGACGCGGCCCATGGACGGGGGCGGGGCCCCAGATGTGCATGTGCAGAGTCTGTAGCGGTGCGGCGGTAGGGGGAAACAAGGAGGAGTGAGAGCACGGCGAAGCCGGCCCTCGACACAAGGCGTGCAAGGTGGGGCAGGGGAGGAGGGAAACTCAGAGAACAACCCATTGAGGCCTAGGACGAGACCGTGCTGTGACATGTGACGCAGACGCGGGAGCGCAGGGTGACCTAGACAGTGGTGCCACAGGAGAGTCGGGCGGGTGAGCGACCGATAGGAGCAGGCAGCAGCAACCTGGGAAGACGCAGCCACCTGAAGGGGCGCCCCAGCCGGGGGGGTCACGGTGTCCAGGGTGAACAGGCCGGACACCGGGTCCCGGGGGAACGTGGTAAGGGGGGCACCAGTGGCGGCCTCGGTACAGACAGCATACCGCTCGTGACCAGGGAACGTAGTGGTGACGCCAAGGTCCTAGAGGCAGCTGACACCAAGTAGGTTCCTCGAGAACGAGGGGATATGCAGACCTATGAGAGAGCCTGAAGGAACCGCCAGACAGGGAAGGGTGGTGGAACTGCGAGCAACGATCGGACCGCCGGAGGGGTCAGCAAGAGAAACTGCAGCAGGAACAGGAAGCGGCGTCAGCGTAGTAGAGTCGCGGAAGAAACAACGGGAAGCACTAGAGTCCAAGGTGAAGGAAAGCAAAGCAGTGGCGTCTGGCGACGGGGCGACGGCGGAAGCACCAAGGCTAAACAAAGCAGGAACTCCTACGCCTGACGCAGCAGGGGAGGCTAAGCTAGGCACACCTACTCTAGGCGACAAGGAGTAATAAGAGGGGAGCACACTAGAGTCATCAGCATACATCACATGCAGGGCAGAAACAATGGCATCCATGTCCATGTCAAAAATCTGAACTCTGTGCCAGTCCGGGAGGTCGGCCGTCGGGCCGAAGCGCTGACGAAACAGGTCGTCCAGGGGACGAAAACAGCGGGCAGTGGCGTGACCGATCTTACCGCAAACGAAGCCGCCGCGAGGACCGGTCTGGATCTGGTACTGACAGCGCACGCCTCCCGAACAGCCACCCGGCACACCACCACGCGCACGACCACCACCAGCGCCAGGCCACCCGGGCGGGAGGGCACTCGCCTGCCTCGTCTGCGGCGGGTGTTGTGGCTGGTGCGGCTGCTGCGTCTGCTGCGGCTGCTGCTGCTGCTGCTGCGGCTGCTGGGGCGGCTGCTCAGCTGGACCCGGCAGGGTCCCCTCGTCCTCTCCACCACCAGACGACCCG